TTTGTTTTATATAGTTTTTAAAAATGATCATAAAGTTAGTTGTGCTGATATTATGTGTGATTGCATCGGATAATTGGAATCAACAGCATCAGTATTTCAACACAACCACTTTAACAGACTCTGAAGGTATTATTAATATATATTTAGGCTGGTGGGTTCAGGGAAACAAAGGATAAAATATTAGCACTTGCGGCAATGTTTAATTGTTTGGAGGTTTTAATGCGTTTGGAACTGGAGCTGCTGTTTCAAACTTAATTCCTCTAGATCCGCATTTTAAAATACGCGTTACTTTCTAGTTTTGGAAGTATTAATGATTGTTAAGTTAAGAATAGATAGTTGGGATAACGAAATTGTATATTATATACTAGGTGATAATGTTTAACAGAGATCTTGGTTTTGGAGTTCTGGAAATTCGATATGTGGGAATACAGATTATTAGAGTGAGTGGAAAGAAGTTATAGTAGAAGAGAAATTCGAATTTTTGCACTAAGAACCAACACTTGCAGTAATAATCAAAACTACTTTAGATGAGAGTCCTAATAATGTATTTATATAATTAATAAAAGGAATCTTGGGGATTTAGAAATTTTATAGTGGAGGTAGTCCTATGTTCACCAGGATGTTTAAGTTGTAGTAATGATACACCTGATGAATGCTTATATTATGTACCAATTGAAGTGAATTGGTTTGATAGTTTTAATTTTGATGGATGGCTTCTTGATAATTAATAGTTTGTTGGAATCAGCTAATGCGCCAACATGACAGTAATAGGAGGAGTTGGCCTTATTTCAGGAAATAAATAGTTAGCAAAGAAATATACATCTTTAATTCCACATTATAAACTAAAGTTACAAGTTCAGTTTTGGAAATTTGACTTTTGGAATAATAATAAATTTACTTTAGAGATTGATGGGCAAAAATGTTAAGAAGCAGTTTTTAATTAATTTGAGGTTATTCCTCTTTGTGGTGATAGTAATGGGGCTGAAAAGTTGTTAGACATTCGTCAGGAGTTGACTCATACATCCGATAGTCTGTAGATTTGTATGTATTCTGACCTTATTGCTGCAAATGCTTTTTGGGGATTACGAGGCTTTAGATTATTTCTCGCAAAATGCGATGCCACATGCCTTACCTGTTCTGGACCAAACAAAAATGACTGTCAATCTTGCCAACCTGGATACAGACATGAAAATAATGAGTGTTTAGATGGTAAATTTAAAATAATATTTTAGTAAAATGGATCTTGGGTTTATCACAGTATTTTTAACCTCAGGATTTTCAAATTCAACCTGGTTGGACTATATCAAATATTTACTATAATCAATCTCCATTTTAAATATGTGCTAATACAAATCTAGTAGGAGGGTACTCATTGTTATCTAAGGATTCTGAAATAGCCTTAACTATGGATTTACCTAAACATATAAAAGTAAGAGTCAAAGTATAATTTTGGAAATTTGATACTTGGGATAATGAATGGCTTCAAGTATATGCAAATGGAAATAGAGTTTATTAAGAATAATTTGGATTGACTGGAGTTCAAGTAATTTGCGGATCAACTATTTCTAATGCTTATGCAAAATATTTAGATTTTGAATTTATTCACAAGAACCCATCTATCAATTTGGTTATGACAACTACTTTAAATGAAAATGCAGTTAACGAATCTTGGGGAATCAGAAATTTTTAATTATTTTATGGAATTATACAGGAATGCAGCTATTCTATTATTGAGGCATTTAGTTTGCCCTCATTCATAGGAACTAAGAATATTTAAACATCATTTTATTCATTTGATCAATCATTGTAAAATAAATTGATAATTACTGAACTCGGGATCTCTCTGTATCCTGAGTTTGATGAAACAATAACTGTTGACTCTTCAATTAAAAAATTGACAATCTCAATCATTTGGAAATGTTTTTAAACTGATCTAAATTTATCCATTACAATATTATAAAGCAGTTACCCAGATTACTAAACAAGAACAGTTATTTGTAAAACAAAACAATCCAATGTATTAAACTCCTAGGTAGTTTTGGAAAGAACAATAAAGTAAGAATCGTAACTTAGATTAGTAGCTACTTCAACATCCATTAAGGTAAATTAAATAATATAAACTTAAACTATAAAGTAATACGAAATTGCAATTAACTGATAATTAATATAAATTCTAATTATCAATATTATTATAAACCATTAATTTAAAGTATTTTACAAATTATAATATTTGGTTCAAAGAGGAGGGACCAAAGCTTGATGGGAATTATAATTCATTTTTTAAAAATAAATCCAATAATTCTCTAATTATAAATATTGAATACCAAAATAAAAGAGGGAAGAAAATATTAATAAATAATTAAATAGTTTATTTCGATTTCTTTCTCATTGCTTTACAAATGTGCAAGCGTTCTCCTTTAGGATTTATTCTACAAAGATACTCTATGAGCTGAAGAGTAGCCTCATTTTATAAAAAAAAAGATGCAATTTTAGTGGTTAATTAATGGTTAATTAATATTAAGTATATCTTTTAGAATTATTAATCATATTTAAAGGCAAATAGAAGTCTTTAGTTGTTTTACCATTTTATAATGAAGATATTTAATGAATTTCTTTTTCTAATATTTAAAAATAAATACTTTTAGCCTAAAATCTTTCTTGTTTGTAGTTTTTGGTTTTGTTGTTCAAATCTTGAATACACTTCTTTATTATCTAAATACGAATAAATTATTGGCTGATTATAAAAAGTTTGTTTAAACCTAATATGATCTTAATGAAAAGTGAATAATTTGACAGGACCTAACTTCATAGTTTAACAAGGTCTTCAAAAATTAGCGATAGCTTATTAAAAGGGAATCTGACTCCTTTAGTAATAGTTGAACTTGAGAAAAAAACAATTATAGATTTCTAATGAAGTTATTATTGGATTAGTTTTTAACTTTGGTAGTTTGTAATTTTAAATTACCGAAGAGCTCCATTAGTTATAAAATCAACTTGTTATTTGGTTACTTAAATAGAACAAAAATTTGGTTGATATCCAAAAGTATACTTAAGTGTTTCAACTTATAAGAAACGATTCGTTTGAAAATGGATAAATTAGCAGTAGACATTAAAAAGTATGGCAAGTGTGATAAGGCGATAAGATAAAATAAAAATGGAATAATGTAAAAAAATAGATTGAAAAGATATTTGGAGAGATTAGATTATTTTTTAATAAAGGCATTTCCCATTAAAGAAATGAAATATCTTCAGTTAAAATTATTGAATTGTTGAAGTAAAAATCAATTACTTTAGAGATCTACTGTTAAAAATTGATAAGCAAATTATTTTGAAATTTTGTTCATAGGTAAGGACATATAGGGGGTAAAGTAAGCTATTAATTTTGGAAATCAAACTTTGAGGCAAATCATTAGATCAAACATTTTGGGAAGTATCTTAATCTTTATTGATTATGGCATAAAGAATCAAAATAAAATTTTTTAGCATCTTATTTCAACTCCAACTCAAATAGTGAATCAGCTACTAGAGATTAAATTTAGAAAGATTACCTTTTCTTTTTAGTCTAACAGGATTAATGCAAATAGGATAGATCTTAATCATAGCATTTAATAGCATCCTTATAATTCTTTGAATTATGTACCTTTACTTGTCCCGTTAAATCATTTTTAGGACTAAAGGAAAAAACTTTATTGTAAAACTCTATTGTTTTCTATCATCTATAATATTAACACAATCTAATGAGTAGCTATTGGTTATTTAAATTATAAGAGTTAATGCTTGAACTTTATACTACTATTTAATACTTCATTTCAAATTTCTAAGAAACCCTTGAATTAATAAAAATTTCGTGATTTCATTAAATCTTATGTATCTGATAAATTGGCATCGACAACTATAGATTTAAACTTAAAAGTAGTCCTTTATTCAGAATTATTATTTCTTTAAAAAAAGAACATAAACATGGAGTAAAATATGAAATTATTTTCTTTATTAGTTTTACAGTATTTCACACTAAATACGAATATTAATTAATCATTCTCATCATCAAATTTAGAATAGATTTCTTCATCACATCTCCATTATTTCTTTAATTTTAAATTAGCGAAATAGATATTTTTTTAAATTTAAGTAGTATTAAGAAATAATATTTTGTAAAGTTTCCTTAACATCTATACAAATTGAATTCTTATTCTTTTGGCTCATAGTATTACTAGATATTCGAGCTAGCTTCTACAAAATTTAAAAATTAATGAATCTTCAAGGTTCATAGCCAATGAATCATTTAGATTATTAAATTCAACTATCTTCATTTAAAACTAGTAAATTTAATCATATTTATTTTGTAATTTTCAATTTAAGATGAAATATATATTCATTGTCTTATGTCTGATACCCCATTTATAATTAGTAATTAACATACCTTGTGAATGTGCTCATATAAAGGAGGAGTAAAAATGTAGTAATTCTCAATAATGTTTGTGGGAGGTTATGGTCGAAAAATGTATATATCAGAAAAATATTGGATATAATAATGAAATGACATCATAATCATATTGTTCATAATTTATAGAAGAAGAGTGCATTTTAAGCAAAAGATGTGCATTTCATTTAGGTAAATGCTAAGACTTTACAAAATGCGACAACTTATTAAAAGATAGATGTTCATTATCTTCATTTTGGTGTATTTCAAATGGATAAAGTTGTATACCTAAAAATGAGTGTTAAGAATATTATAATAGAGAGGCTTGCTAAAACAAGAATATCCATGGTAAATATTGTGTTTGGAAAACAACAAATAATTAATAATAATAGGGATGTTGGGATATTGAAAGTTGTGAAGATTTACCTTTATCATTAGTTACTGATAATGAATGTAGAGAATAACTTCACTATTGTACAACTTCAATTTAAGGTGGGTGCATTAAATAAAAAGATAATTGTAATGAATATGCATTCCAAGAATAATGTTATTTAATTAAAAATAATATTAAATGTTTCTGGGAAAAGGAGTCACAATAATGTTTTGAGAAAAAATGTTCAAATAAACTTTTGAAGACCTATGAAGAATGTACATAATTTTTGCCAAATTGCACAACTAATGGGATACATTGTATCGAAAGGTTATCCTGTTATTAATACCGATTTTAATCAGGATGTGTAAGAGATAATTAAGGAAAGTCTTGCGTTTATTATTAAGGGAGGTGTTATTCTAAGACTTGCGATCAGGCTCCAGATATAGTGAAATCTATGATTTAATGTTAATTATTTGAAAATGAAAGTTAGGAATGTGTTCCAAAAAGAAACGGTGGATGCATGAATAAACCTAATTTATGTAATTAATTAGAAACATAAGATGCTTGCTAAATGAATATATAATATAATGGGGGTCTATGTTTTTGGAATGATTAAAATTCTATATGCAAAGTAAAAGAATGTGTTGATGCACCACTAAACTTTGATCATGATTAATGTATAAGTTGGCTACATGACTATGAATGTATTGGTTCCTTGCGAAATGGTTGTATCTAGAATGTTGAAAATTGTAATTAAATAAAGAATTTGAAAAGTTGTGTTAAAAATAAAAATAAAAAGAAATGTGTGATAGAAAATGGTGAATGTTTTGAAGAGGATTGCTTTAATTTTAAATATCCCATTTATGATTCCCATTAAAAATGTTAGGATAGGATGAGTGTTTGCACTTATAATTATTTGAATAAGAGTTGTGTTAATAAAGAATGCTAAAACTTATCTGAAAAAGAGTGCAATTACGATTTTAATTTCAATAAATGTTTCCTTCCATCTGGTTGTGCACATAAAAGATGTGAATCAGCTTAAATATCGTAAAATTCATATGAAGATTGCCAAAATTGGGATGTTAGATGCACAATAAATATTGTTGTTATAAATAATGCTTAACTCATCTATGGATGTATAACATAATATCTAGATTGTAATCAATATAAGTATTAATAATAATGTCGATCAACCCTTACAAGGAATACCTTGTTATTGGAATTTATAAACATCGGAAATGTGAATTCTAAACTTGTAACAATGGCTCCCTAGCTCATTCAATAATATTAAATTAAATGTTATAGATTGGGTTAAGATATTCATAATTAGAAAATGTGTCATATAAATAGAATGGTGGATGCATTGAGCAATTTTCATAATGCGAATAATTAACTGAAGAGTTACAATGTAATATTGGTTCGTTAAATAGTTTATGTTATTGGAATGCATAATTGAATTACTGCGAAAAAAGAACTTGTATGAATGCAAGTATAACAATTAGTACTAATTTACAATGTAGATAATGGTTATCATCTTGTAAATTAAATTAATCTGGATTCGGATGCGAAATTGACTCTGGTGTCTATGAATTATGTACTGATGCACCAGAAACAAATCAGTTTAATAGCCACGAAGAATGCTAAGCTTGGAATCCTAAATGCACTTTAAAGTTTGGTTCTACATGTGCAAATAAATTAGAATGTTAGAACTATTAAACAGAAAAAGAATGTAAAATTGATATTAATAATCAACCTTGTAAATGGAATGGAAATTCATGTATTTCTATAAAATGTAGTGATTATTCAGGTACTCCATCTAAATATAAGGATTGCTTTTTATTTTCGAATATCTGTACAATTTCATATTAAAAGGTTGAGTGCAGAACAAAACAATCTAATTGCAATAGTTATCTTGTTGGAGAAGATTGCAATGTTAATTTAGTTGGGGATAAATGTTCAATTATTAACTCTACTTGTGTTGAAGTAAAAAATTAACAGATTTTTCTAAGTCATACTTGTAATTATGAAGACCTTTAAAAGGGATTTTTATATCAATATTATGAAAAAAAGTGTATAGAGTCACCTCAAAGTTGTAATTCTCTTACTGAAAATGAATGCAAATCTTTAACAACAATAAATAATGAACTCTGCTAATGGGATGGTACTCAATGTCTCATGACAACTTCAAACCCTTAAGTAGACTGTAGGAAATAGATTGTATTATTTTATCATTTTAATTTAGAGCCTTACATAAGTAAAATGCAAGAATTTTTCAAATAACTGTGAATTGGATTTTATCCAATTTGCACGTTGTACATATTCCACATGTTTAAGCGTTTAAGAACATCAATGCAATTTTATTACTTTAAATAGGAATGAGTAATGCACTTGGAATTCTTAGACTTGTCAAGCCAGGACATGTTCTAACATGAATGAAGAAATCACTTCCACTTATTAATGCATTTTATGGTTAGATTCTTGTACATATGATGAAAATAAGAAAGCTTGTGTTAATAGAAGATCTTGCAGTTAAGAAAGTGGTGAACTATTATGTGCCAAAGCTTCGTATATCACATAAAATTAATAAAAAATATATTGCTATTGGAATGTAGATATTTGCGCTGATATCACAGATTGTACTTAAATTTCAAATTCTACATCTCATAGAATGTGTTAAGATAAACTATCAACTTGCACATCTTCAACTTCTCCTTTAATTGCTTAATGTATCGAAGCACCATTATTTTGCAATTAGATTTAAGAAAAAAGTTAATGCTTTAGAAATTCTAAATATGAATTGTGTCAATGGATTAATGGTTAATGTTGGTAAAAAAGATGTTCTCTTGGTGGTAGGTAAAAGCCAGAGACCTATATCTCTTGCTAAAGAAAACCGAGATCCCTATTTTGTGTATTCAATCAATAAACTGGAAAATGTGAAGAATTTACAAAATGTTAATTTATTCCGAACTTACGTTAAAATGAAAGGAATTGCGTGAAATATAGCTCATTATGTCGGATTAATGAATAATATAATACTTGTGTTAGAAATACAAAATGTACATAAGCAACCACCT